CAGGGGTAGATTTGCTTTCACTTGCAGGGGATATCTAGTTTAGGTCAACCTATAGGGCATTCACACAGCCAATAAGAAACTATAGCGACTCCAAAGAGATGTCAGCACAGCCAAGCATCTAGCGCAATGGTAAAGATGCTCCATTTCTTGGTCCAAATCCCAGGTTCGACTCCCAGGTATCAGATCTTTTTTAGAGAAATTAAACCTCGACGGCACACATGGTACAAGTGACACACAAACCGTCGGGTCCCATAGGTTAGATGGAGATGGAGAAAGGTCCCACATGTACACATGACACGTAAGCCGTTGGGTCCCATAGGTGGGATGCAGAAGGACCGAGCGAAGACTTTTATGATGAATTACAAGCGTCAAGTGACACGCAAGCCATCGGATCCTGCATGTCGGATGGAGATGGGTCGTCGGGTCCCATAGGTTAGATGGAGATGGAGAATGGTCCCATAGGTACACGTGACACGTAAAGTGACACACAAGCCATCGGGTCCCATAGGTCAGATGGAGATGGAGAACAATCCCACAGGTACACATGACACGTAAGCCGTCGGGTTCCAAAGGTCGAATGCTGAAGGGTCCCATAGGTACACGTCGGATGGAGAAACGACCAAGTAGAGACTATTATTACGAATGGCAAGTGCCATAGATGAGTAACTGTAGGTCCCATAGGTTCACGTCGGATGGAGAAAGGATCGAGCGAAGACTTTTATGATGAATTGTAAGCGTCATGGATGAATAGTTATAGGTCCCTCAGGTACACGTCAGATGAAGAAAGTACCATGTGGAGACCTATGACGAAGCACTGTTCGTTACAGATCGGATATTGTTCATCACATATGTGTAATTAGTTCAATGACGAAGCCCTATTCGTCACAGTATTAAAGGAGATCATCACAGATGAGTCGCGCGAGTGATCTACGACGAAACATTGTGCTCTTCTATGGCATTTTTTGTGACAATGCCTGATTTCATCATAGATAGGGAGGGTTGGAGGATCGTCACCACTGATCTATGACAAAACAGAAATATTCATCATAAAAAAGCGATCTTCTATGACAGTTTCGGATTTGTCGTTAAGATTTTTATCATAAAAGTGGATATTTCTAGTAGTGCGGCCATAGCGAGTCGCTCGACTTACTGCTGTTGCCGCCGCCCGCGCACAAGCACGCGGCACGACCCACGTCGTAATGCCTCGGCTTCGACGCGACACGTCCATGGTGGGAGGTACCCGGAGATTAACTCTGCGCATTGGCGTCGAGCCGTACTTCCGCGACGGCCTCCGCGTCACTGACGCGCTCATCATGGAGGTCATCGAGATGGTGCTCGTCGGGAAGGTCAACAAGAACCTCGTCTCCCTCATTAACATCTCGGGAGGAGCTGCCGTCGGCCTCTGTGGCAAGGACGCGCGCCTCATCGAGATGGTGCTCGCCCGCCCTTTGTCTGTTTTTGTACGTGCTTGTTTCTTTTTTGTTTCTGTACGTGCTTGTTCCTATGTGAAAGATGATGATATTTATAAAAATGCCATTGATTGCTTGGGAAGTTTGATGTGGGCCTAAATTTTTTATATTTTAGGAGTTGCTTTTTAGAAATTGTTGGAGAAGCTCCTCTTTATTACTCCTAATATTTTTTTAGCATTTAGAAAACTCAATGTTTTGAAAAGAATTGCTCTAATTAAACTAATTAAACTGACTCAGCCCCACGGCCGCAACTTGGTTCGGCCAGCACACGTGTAGTCGTGTACATGGACTGATGGACACGACTCAAACTCCACTGAGAAACCAACTAACAAGCATAGCACGTCCCAGCAGCACACCGCACCAATTTGGTTCACGTACACAAGTCTCGATAGAAAACTAATACATAGAAATAATAAAAAAATTACGGCAAGGATGTTGGAAAAATCCCATTGGTCCACCTATTTAGAACTAGTCCTGACGTATTTTTTTTGCTTTATTTTGTCCTCTTTTCACGTAATAATAAGACAGCTCTATAAAATATCTTTGATAATAGACTGAGAGTAGTAAACTTCTCCATGTTCTTGTTATATTTTTCATCAAAAAGAATAGCTCCAAATTCAAGACCTAGGAACTTCTAAGAATTACCAACTGCCACCATTGAAATAATGCTAGATTTGAGTGTATGAATATTTCGAGGAACCATGGGCTCATCACGGTAGACGAGGGTCCGCTAGATCACAGGTCGGTCCGGAGGACTAAACCCGAATTCGTGTTAAGTTTGAGGGCATGTTTGGATATCCGGTAATTGACCAAAACTCTTGTAAATTACAGGCCTATCATTTTTTACAACCTAGGTCGAAACGTGCTGTTTGAATGTCCAGTGAACCTACTATTTTTACAGATGAATTGCACTAAAACGGTTGTAAAATAAAAAAAACACCTCTTCTAGCCTGGAAAATAAAACGACAACTATCGGGCCCTCCGCTCTCGAGTCTCAACTCGTCCCTTCTTCCTCAGCTTGCTCTCACCGGTGGCGGCGGAGTCGAGAGTTCCCTGGTGGCGGCCGAGCCGAGGGTCCCCTGGTAGCGGCGGAGTCGTGGGATCCCTGGTGGTGGCGGAGCCGAGGGTCCCCTGCTAGCGGCGGCGATAGGTGAGTTCATGACCAGTCGGCTAGCAAATCGACTGCAGAGCGGAGCGGACATCCTGGCGACCATGGAGCTAGGCTGCAGTGGCCGACGCCGTGGATGTGCTCTCCCGTCTCCGCCGGCGACTATCTCAAGGACGCCATTGCCGGGGGGACGCGCGCCATCGCCATGGGCATGTACGCCGGGGGTGAACATTCTGTCGGACGGGAAGGCGGCCGGCGACGCCGGTCGCCATGGGGGCCGGATTTGTCGACCCCGGCAGGGCGTTGGCCGGCGAGAAGCAGAGCGCTCCACATCGGGCCGCATGATGGCAGGCATGACCGGGTACACTGATGCAGAGAGAAATCCATGGCAGCCTAGCTGTGGTCATCTTATTTTAATTCATCCAGTTGCAGGCAATCCAGATACAGGCACATCACGGATGTAAGCGCCACGCAGAAGATGGAATCGTGCAAGCGGAAGCTTTTAATCCAAACAACATTTTGAAAGTGTAAAAAAAAACAGTTGTATCCTTGTGCACAACAAATTACAGAGGGAAACGATTTACACCTGAAAAAAAATATGATGCTGCCAAACAGGACCTGAAAATGGATATTTTGACCGATCGGTCCAGTGTTGTCGTGGATGACACGGGGGACATTAGCTATGTTCGCTCCGCTTATAAGCTGTACTTTTTCAACCAAAGAACAATATTTTTCTCTCATAACAAATCAACAAATAATATTTTCAGTCATAATTTTTCAGCCAAACGAACAAATCAATTGGCTGTACGTTCTAATTGTTGGTTCTCGCGAACGATCCGTGGTTCCTAGTACTACTTTTGTGTAGTATAGTGTGTAGACTACTTATGTAACACCAAAAATAAACACTAAGTAAGAGTAAACACTAATAAACATAATAATTATTTAACTGACTTAATTTGTTTCTTTGTCTACTATATATACTGTACGGTGGTAGATTTGATATATATAAGCTACGTTACCCTGTATCCCCGATACGCCGAGATAGGAGGATACGGCATGGATACGCATTGGATACGTTATCCGTAAAAAATTAAATCAACAACAATTCGGATACTATTTACTTACTGATATATGTAGCACTGGTTTGATACGTCGTTCCGATACGGCCCACAGCCCATCAACAGCTGATCCCTGACTCCCCACAGTGAGCTTTCCCCTTTAATTTTCTAATAACGTTTTTTTTGTTAAATTTCTCTCCTTATGGGATATAACTGAATAGTTTAATCCCCATCAAGTTGAATAGTTCTTCTCTGCACTACACACTTGTATATTCTTAGGCTATGTTTAGTTCGCGAAATTAAAATTTTTGGATGTCACATCAGATATTTCGGGGATGTCGGAAGAGGTTTTCAGATACTAATAAAAAAAAACTAATTGCATAGCTTGTCTGGAAACTGCGAGACGAATTTATTAAGCATAATTAATCCATCATTAGCGCATGTTAGTTACTGTAGCACTTTATGGCTAATCATGGACTAATTAGTCTTAAAACATTCGTCTCGCGATTTCCAACCAAACTGTGCAATTAGTTTTTTTCATCTATATTTAATACTCCATGCATATGCCGCAAGATTCGATGTGATAGTTTGGGGTGAAAATTTTTGGGAACTAAACCAGGCCTTATTCTTAAGGGCCGTTCATTTAAGGCAGTGTGGCACCAGAAATTATTTCTGCTAATGAAAATTTATATAAATTAATTAGGCCTTGAAACATTCCGGTTTGTTGCGGCATGTTTTTAATCCGGATGAAACCAAAATGTGCCTTTTTATTCCTAAAAGCGGCCGTTCTTTTAAGGCAGTGTCCGGCACCAGAAATTATTCACTCATTCCTCGCTAATGAAAATTCCGCATAAATTAATTAAGGATTCCAGCCGGAATTCTTCCTGGGGGGTCTTTCCAAAGGAAGCGAACGGGCCCTAATTTGATTTTGAGGATTGGATGGAGATGCTTGGCAAGCTTGCCTGTTGGAACGTTGGCTAGATGATGGAAATACGGAAAGGATGAGCAACAACACAATTACAAAGAATGCAAGCCTTGGTTGCTACTGCTTTTAGTTTTTCAATATGGTTTACTACTTATTTATTAAAAAAACTTAAACGTATCCACATATAAACTTTTTTTATTAAAATACCGTATCCACCTATCCGTGTCTGCCCGATACCGGTACATGTATCCGTGTACGTGCTGCATAATATAAGTGCGGCAGCAGCTAGCCTCCTCTCCTCACCCCGTTGGTCGTTGCACAGGTGACCGGTGACCCCCTCCCCACCATTTCTGCACATCCACAGCTCGCGCGGTCGGCCACCTGAGCACGCCAGTCCAACCTCTCCAAGGAACCAAGAACCATCCCGCGACCGACCGGCCATGCCAAGAGTCGTCGGCGGCGGCGGCGCGGCCTACAAGGGCGGCATCAAGGGCTACTGGAAGCGCCGCGGCTACGACCGGCTCGACGCGGCCGCGGCGCAGCGCCGCCCGCGCCTCCCGACCGCGGAGCTCGGTGGCGGCGGCGAGGGCGAGGCGCAGCCTCAGCCGCAGCCGCAGCCGGCTGCGGGACGGCGCCGCCGCGCCCGCGGGTGGCGCGTTCGTCGCCGGCGCGCGGGCGTCCTCGGCCGGCGCCTCCTGCGCGCGCTCTCGCCGCTGCGGCTGCTGGCGCGGCTCCGCGACGCCTACGTGAACGCCATGCTCCGCCTCGCGTCCTCCTCCGCCGTGGCCGGATACGGCGCCGCTGGCCCGTACTGCACCGCGGTGGATCCGTTCGTTCGGCCGCGGCCGCTCACCAGGGACTACGACGAGAAGGCGCTCGTCGAGATCTACAGGTCCATCCTCGCGCGCGGCGGCGAGGCCGGGCCGGTGCCGGTGCTCGCTGCCTCGCGGCTGCCTGCGGCGGTCTGAACTGATGACGATGGGGCCGGCCGCCAGTGATGCCGGTACGCGCACGCGCGCGGGGAGCTTGCCACGCTCTGCCTGCCTACTCTTCTTGCCTCATGCAAGACTCGTGTACGCTACAATTTCGCTTTCACAGAGAAGTTGCATGTCAAATGAAAGTTTCAAGTCATTATTGCAGTACCAAATGTACTTTGAACCTGTAAATCGTTCCCAAGAATTTGGAACGAACTGTGAGAATCGTAGCAGTTTCATCGAATTCTACAGAACTGCAGTATTATACAATTATAAAACGGGCAAAATTAGTACCGAGATAAAGATAATTGATCGTGTTCGCTTTGCACTTATCAACCGTACCGTTTCAACGAAATAACAGTATTTTTCTCAGCCGTTTTTCCGGCCAGCCAAACATGCCCACATGGTCACAGCGTCAAAAGAATGGGGCTCGTTAGCAGCCCATCATTCTATTTTATTTATCTATTATGACCTTGTTTAGTTGCCCAAACCACATATCTAAAAAGGATTATTTTCGAAAATTGGTAATAATTGCCAACGCTGACTATTTAGGCAGAGCACCACATCCATGAGTACCTCCATGCAAGCTAATTAGTTAATTTTTTAGTACCACATTTCATAGCGTCAAATGTCAAAGATTTGATGGATGTGATGTTAAAGAATCTTGCATCATTCTATTCTGCAAATTGATGGAACTAAACAACGGCTATGAATGAATGGCTCGTTAGTCGGTACGTCTCACTTCCTGTGATTGCTCTGAATATATAAAAAGATATCGAAGGATCGTTATTTATGATCTGAGTGATTGTACCAGTAGTTGCAGGTCAACTGAACTCTAGCTTCCCACGTAAGGCGTGATGCCTTCCTTGGTTATAGCATATATCTTAAAATGGTGACACGTCGCGTTCGCTGGTTATATCTGCTCCGCTGCTCTACCTCTACGACTAGTAGACAACTTGGGTAGCAGAAGATTGAGAGACTGAAGCCTGCAAGGCATATTCCTAATTTTGTATTATACCAGGTTGAGAGACTGAAGCCTGCGCTACTACGTATGTGCAGTAGTACGAATGTATCAGTAGAACTCAAAAGTCCACGTCTTTGGCATGCGGTTGGCACCTCCCCACCGCGTCGGACAATAGTATGTTGCTGCGGTAGCTGTTGGGCACCCAAATATTGGCAGTATTTGCCTTGCCCGGCGGCGGCGCCTGCCATCACGCACGCACGGCACGGTTATAGGCCCACAGCTAGGGCTAGGAGCCTGGTAGGGCCAGTGCTACGTTCGTTTGAACTTATTCAATATCTTTTATCTATGAAATAATATTTTTCTCTTATAATATTTAACATAAGCATCAGCGTAAGTAAATTTCAGCATCAGCCGACAGGCTACAGGACACCGGCCGGCCGAGGAATGGTCGTGGCGCCGCGCCTAAGGAACGAACGAACAACATCAGCTACCCACCATATGACAGTGTACAAAATCCGCAGGCGGCGCGTCATTAGCGCGCGGTGGAGCGCGCGCCGGTCGCCATCGGCGCCAGGTGCCACGTCCCGGCGGACGTAGGCACGCAAGATGGCGACGGGACGCATGCAGGCACGCAGGCGCAGCCGATATAGAAGGCGGGCTTCCTGCATTGACCACGGGTCTTGCGGCGGAGAAGAGGGGGTGCCGGCTGCGGTGCGCCTGCGACTGCGATCGATTGGCTTTGGCGTTGTGTGGGCAAAGAAGAGGCAGGACGAGCAGAGGAATATACGCGGGCGGCGAGGTGGGGTCGCTTTCTCGAGGTTCCCCGTCCCATCGGCTTCGGGGTCACGTCTGGTCGTCAGGACCATGCCCGTTGCCGGTTGCCCGTTGCCGCTCTGATGTTTGGTGGCACACGGCCTGACCAGGCTCGTTGCCGCTTTGATGTTTGGCTGCACACGACGGTCTAACATATGGACAGGATCGAGACATCGAGTGGTGTATACCTGATTGGTTCAGCACCAGTAGCAGCTGTTCGTTTAAATTTATCGGCCCGGCATATCAGTCATGGTACATTGTTTCTCTCTCACAACGAAATTAACATCAGCTGCCTTATCAACCGCAGAAACCATCAAAACTATTTCTCAATTAATAGATTTTTGTCACATACCATATGGCCTTAAATACTATTTCTGAAGGCTAATCTATACAAAGGAATTATTGTTCTTATGTGTTTTTGAGATTGGGCCAGGGTGACGAGATCAATCTACGATTCCTACACGCCGCTTCCTTAGGATCAGGAATGGAAAAAAGCGGGCCTCGCACTCCATTCATAGACCAATTCTCAACATGTTATCAACAGCCCTCATCACTGAACGAATCGTTCATAATTTGTTTGCCATCAAATAAGAATCTATTTGGTTTCACTAATCGTAGATTGATTTTTTTTAGATATGGCTCGGCCTATCTCGATTTAGCTTGATTGTGTTGTGCACCGTCCTGCCTTGCCACTCCGATTCCGATCTGATCTTAGATTAAATTAATGATTCAATTGGCTTTGGTGCTATCTTTTCTTTGATACTAAAAGAGGACTCGCCTGTCCTTTCTCTTTAAAAGATTACAACTCATGTTTGGTTGTTTGCATTTCAAAAGTTCTTAAGGGGGAAACTTGTTTCATCAGTTTTCCTGAGTTGTATTATGGAATGTGCCTGCGAATGAAAGGAGATACCCATCTACATCATAAGTTATCGAATCAGGTTTAAGCATCAATTTCTAATTATTTTCTAATGAAACAATTACCTATGTATATTAAACAAAATCGCAAACCAATTGAGCTACCGAGATGGGTAGACATAGATAGAATACAGTAATGAGGCATGCTGGTAGTTTGCAGTGGAATTAATTAGCTGCTGTAGTTGTGCAGAGGAATTAGTACTTTCTTATGCAGGTAGTCGAACAGAGTGCAGTACTGCAATGGTTGAATCTAAAATATGGACGCGCTCGTTAAACAGAGTGCATGCATCACTATTGCGCAGATTTTTTTTTAAATATATCTTGTCTTCTTACATGTATTTCCCTTGACATAGCTAATACTCCTATAAAACAGTATCATATGATCTATTAATTAACCATCAATTAAGTGCATATTGTATGTTGAGCTATTAGGTCATCAATTATATGTACACAAACATGGAGCGGACATACTGGCATGCAGCTGGCAGAGGAATTAACAAGCTGTAATAGTCGTCTGATGGACTGGATTCTCTTCACCACTTATACTGATTGCTGAATATCGGTTTGAACAAAGAACCCAGCAAGCAGTTGAGGTGAGCAGCGGCTGCAGCTGCAGCTGCAGCTTTTGCTTTGTTTCCCTCTACAACCACTGTAGCAGCAGCGGCTGTTGGCTGCAGCAACCAGCTTCCGAACGCCATGGAACTGACCAGCGCTGAAGAAGTGGATTTACTAAATTGGAACGGCCATATAAAACCCTTTCGTTAGATTATCCTATTCGTTAGAGCTACAAATACTGTTCTTGTTTTATTTTTCGTTAGAGTCTACCATGCAAAGAAGGAGCTTCAAATAATCGGCCTAACCGGCTTGTCGGTCGGTTTCATTGTATCGCCACGTTCTTACTGTGATCTAGGTTGTGCGTGACTTTGGACGTGCTAGTCCTTGCTGGTGTGTGACGCAAATCAGCATCAACAGTATTATTAGCAACCTAATAATTGCTTGGATCCAACTACCAAATATACACTAGGTATGTAACTATGAGATTTGTGCAACTTAAACTAACTTAACTTTGATCAAGTTTATAGTAAATAGTATTAACATTTATGTCTACAACTAAATTTACTATAAAAATATACTTCATAGTTAATTTAATGATACCTTTTTTGCATCATAAATATTAGCATTTCTTTAAAAACTTTGGTCAAACTTTAAATCTTTTCACTCTTTGGACAGAGGTAGTAGATAGTTGGATGGGCACATATGAACCCGTAGTATCTATTAACACCCCTTTACCCACTAATGTACTAGATTGAGCAAACCCTTTTAGCTAATAGTTAGTAGGTTTATTAGCAAACATGCTTGATCATGTCTTTTAATTTTAGCTATTAATATTAGTTTTTTTGTGAAGTAATTGTACTTAGTTAGTAGGTTTGCAACCCTTGTTCGCTTGAACTTATCAGCCTGACTTATAAGACATGGTACAGTGTTTTCCTCTGACAATAAATCAGCGGACAATACTTTTCACTTTGCTTTTCAGCGAAGCGAACAAGGTGGGGCATGTTTGGATTCTCTGATCTAAAGTTTTTATGAGGTTCGCTAAACTTTAAGTAACACTTTAAGTGGTAAAATGGTCTAAAGTTTAGGTGTTATTTGGTTGGCAACTGTAAATGGAAACGATAATGCAATTGAATTACACTGGGACTGTAAATAGTGTATCATGTTACGGAATTTGTTTGGTTCTGGTCAGTAATGCAAACAGAAACGCCTCGCACGTCTTTGGCAGCAGGCGTCTTCAACCTTCAGCAGTAGCTGCTGCGGCCATGTGAAGTTGCAGAACAACCATGTTGCCTTGGCTACAACTCAGTGGAGCTACAGCTCGAGTGCAGGACACCAATGAGTCGATAAGCAGCCCTCTCCCACGCCGTCGTCGTCCTGAGCCTAGCATTTGAGTCACATGTGAGGCCCCACGTCAGCAGCCGCAGATCCGGCCGCCACCAAGCAACCTTGCCATGGCCCCGAAAGTGCCCTGCAGATCCTCACCTTTGCTGCCATGTTTGCGGTTGCGTGGCTTCCTCCGTTCCTCGGAGCCGGCATAGGAGCGAATGCTTCGAGTTGAAAAGACGTGAGCCTATGTAGGAACGAGACGGCATTGCCCCGTTCGTGTGACTTTAAATTTGATTTATTTCTTTTTTCATCCGAAACAGTATTTTTCTCTTACAAATTTCTTCAGAATTTCTCAAAACGAACAGGCCCATTAAGTTTCTACGGGGCCTATGTAGGAACGAGGCGGCATTGCCCCGTTCGT